GTATTACAACTCATTTTATTGTTATACTCATTTTATGGTGCTGGTCTGGAATCAAACCCAAAATATCTTTGAGGTATGCCTATATATGGCTTGGTCTAATTACTATGACCAGGGTCTCCTGTGACATTTCATTTGCTTTGATTTTCTACTGACTCATGTGTTAGTTTAGTTTGATAAAATATTTCAAGTGTTCTGCTTACTGCTACCTCACCTACTTTAAAGGTACTTTGTTACTTAAATTGTGTCAATATTAATAACATAGGTTCTCTTTTATGAACAAAGCCAATATCTATTTATTAGCAGGAGCAAAGAAATTACAATTCCATTCCCATTTTTTATAATTCAACCTAAGATGTCTTACACATACCTGCATACCACACTGTACCTAGCAGTAGGTGGTAATGAAATGATACTTAACCTTTCATTTTCCACTGCAATAAATATTACTGTATTTCAACAAAAACTAACTATTTGTATCTCTTTGATCTCACGTCCATCTCTAAATGGTTTTCCTAATGCAGCAACAGCACAGTTGAGTCACACTCTTGATCAGTTCAGCACACTTCTGAAACTCCTAATTTCTATAACTCTGCAGTAGCTAACACTTAAAGAGGACTTAATTCTGAGTCAGGACCTGATCTAAACCCATGTCACTTAAAATCCATATATTAACTAATTTACTCCTCACAAAACCTCTCCAGGACAGGTATTCCTATTTTACAGAGAGATTAAGTAACTAGCCCATGGTCACATGGCCGTTCAACAGTGCCTTTCTGTTCTATTTAATGTCAGCCCATTGTTCATGAGATGGTTCCACAACGTACCTGATGCTTATATTCTCAGTATTTCTCACAGAAAAAAATAGGCTGAGAGAAAAGTGACATACTTTATAGGCTTAGAAGTGTTACATAAATATCAAATAGCTTATTAAAGAGAAAAATGTTGACATCTATACTAATAAAAGATCAAAATAACAGATAATAAAAATTAACCCTTACCTCTTCTAATCATAATGGCTTGGGAATTGAAATCTATTTTTTTGGAACATGGATGGCATTCTTTCTGCTATGAAGATAAAATAAAAGTGAAATGTAAGCCCTAGGGATATCTTAACCTATTTCTTCTTCATTATACTCAGAGATGGCCAATCTGAATTGCTGAGTGCCACATACTGTTAGTATAGAATGTTATATTTAAAGCTTTATACTGTTTTCCTTTAGTTCTCTGCTTTCACAGTGAAATTCTTTAAGCATAACCTTGGCTGACTTCTAAAATTTTCAGCAGGTTGGAAAATCATGGAAATGGAAAGTTACTTCCAACATATTTCAATTTGGAAACTGAAGCTCATAGAAAGTCATAAAAATCAATTTAATTTAGATTTATTGATTGCCTATAGTGTGCATGGTCCTTTGTTAGACACAATGAAATTCAGGCACAAAACAGATACAAGATCCCTGGCTTCAGGAACCTTATGATCTAATTACCATAATACAGATTAGAAACAAAGACAGACAAGTTACATGTCAATGCTCACTTACTAGAATTGACATTAAAGAGCAGTAATTTAAGTAATCCAAAATGGCATCTAGTCCTAAAATTATTTATAAAATTTATTTGGCCTTGAAATTCATAGCACTTCAAGCAAGATAAGCTCAGCTACAGATAGTCACAAAGATTCAAATACACTGAAACCCTTAAGAGCATTATTAATGATTTTTGTTATTTTGGATCTTCTGTTTTCTTCTTATTATCGTTCGCAGCCTCCGTAATACCAGTTTATCAGACAGAAGCATGTCATCTTGTTGTTCTAGATAATCCAGTAAATTTTCAGTCCATTCAAGTGCTGATTTATGGCTAATGTGCTTCTCTGGATTCACTTCTGTTTTTCTAGTCTTGTTAGCAGGTCTTTGCTCAGCAGGCTTGGACTGGTCCTCAGCACCTTCACTGTCAGTTAACACCTGACAGCTTGAGTTATTACTCTGAGAGTCAAACCACTGATCAATATTCTCAATATCAACGTGTTCACAGTCTTCTGTATTCTGTAAAACTGTTGCCAAATTAGCTGCTAAAATGGCTCCTTCATCAATGTTCATACCTGAATTCTCCTCATTGCCAGGGAAAAGTTTTTTCCAAGCTTTGGTTATGGTACTTGATTTTACCATGTTCCAAGCTCTTGATACTTCATAAATTGCATCCAACACTGTCAAGTTCTTCCAAAACATTTTTGGATCAATTCCTTCATCCATGTATTTCTGGAGAAGTCCTGCTCGGTAGTATCTTTTTACCATGGCTAGAATTCCCTGGCTCATAGGTTGAATTAGACTTGTGACATTTGGTGGCAGATATTTGACAATTATTCTGCCATCATCTGAACTCAACGATTCTTCATTTGGATATGCTGGAGGAAAATCCAAAAGAAGCACTGCTTTTTCTAGAAGCCCCTTGGATTTCAAATGCTTCTGTACCTGTGGCACAAAGTATTTTTCAAACCACTGTCTGAAAACAGAATGTTCTATCCATGCACTTTTTTGACTGAAATAAGTGACAGGAAGGTTTGAAAGGTCAGCTCCTTTGAACGCACGGGGTTTTTTTGCCTTTCCCACAACACAAAGATTAAGTTTGTGCAAACCTGTGGCATTTGCACAACACATAATAATGATTCTCTCTCTGCTTGACCTATAACCAGAAGTACTTTGCTCACTTTCAAGAACTAATGTCCTGGGTGGTAAACATTTCCAGAACAATCCAGTTTGATCAGCACCATAAATTTGCTCTGGTTGCAGATTCTCTCTTTCAACAAATTCCTGAAAGTTACCACAAAATTCACTGGCAGCAGTTTCATCTCCTTTTAATTTTGTTCCTTTACCAGCAGCCTTGGGAATACCATGGCGCTGCTTAAATCGAGTTAGCCAGCCAGATGATGCATTAAAATCACCTTCCATCCCTAAAGCATCAAAAAAGAATTTGGCTTGCTTTGCACAAATTGTTCCAGACACTGGAATTCCATCTGTTTTCTGTTGGTTAAACCACTCTATCATAACTCTATCAAGTTCCTCATATGTTGATGACTTCATAGATTTACGTTTGGATACCCCACTTGTAGGATCTGAACTGTTTGCATAGTTTATTATCCTTTCCTTGTTCTTTTTAATGTCCCGAACTGTGGATTCACCAATTCCATACACCACAGAAAGTTTTTTGAAAGATATGCCCTCCTCAAGTTTCTTAATAATGTCAAGCTTGTCCTTAATTGTCAATACCACACGCTTACGTTTCCCCAACATTATAATGTCCAATATTTTAGGCAATTACTAGAACAAGATATTTAAGAACTTAGACTTAAACACAATGAGATTAGAAAAGGGGGTTTTAAAATCCCTCCTGCCCCCGAGGGTCTAGATGGATAGTGTGCTGGCCAATTTCCAAGCAAGGCCTCTGTGACTCTCACTTTGCTGTTTTAAAACTTAGAAATTCCTTCAACAAGGACTAGCTCCAATGAACCTTTCTATCTTTCTTCCTCCTCATTTAGTTTAAGGTCTTTTCATGAACTACAATTTCAGTGGAGACTGCACCCAATACTGTACCAGCAAAGTCTCAAAAACAGTCTTATTGCATACTCAATTCTTCATGCCACCATTACAGGTGAAGTTATTGCTAAAGGACTAAGGTTCAATTGGAAATATTTTGAGAAATGTGCTGGAGAATAAATAGTTTAAGAGAGGACTTGCATACTTGACATATAGGAAAATATAATGGGAAAACCCATTCCCTGACTGTTCCCTTTCAGGCAGCGCATTGTATGGAATGCTGCCTCTTCCAGACAAGGGATATTACAGGTTACGCGAAGTGAGTAGTTATGGAAATCATAAGCAAGCAAGGTAAGGCAGGCTGGAGAGAAGTGAGCGGTGCAAATAAGGCGAAAGTGGACAGGCAGAAAACTTTGTACGTTAATAGACACAAACTTATACCTAATGTATTTAACAACTGGAAAGGGAAAAGGGTAGACAATAGGTGGTGTTACATGATTCAAAAAAGCATCAAAAAACTTCACTGGTGGAAATCAGGACTCATGGTAGAGGGTATGGGGTGGACGGCTGTGGTGATGTTATACAATAATCCTGGTGGAGGATGATCCTCGATGGGCCAATAGTAGTACTGCAGTTCCTGTGGGGGGGGGGCTGTAGAGGTACTCGGAGCCTCCGAAACCTAAAGGAAAATACCAAAAACATTTTTTTTTCAATATCAGGGTCTGTGGCATTACCCACACCTATCCTGAAACTATGTTGAAAAAATTAACGTTTCCTATCAATGCGATGGCTAAATACGACAAATAATGCTTTTAGGCGTTATCTGAAGTGACAGAGAGCGGGACCTGAATTGCCTACCTCCTGAAATTAAGAGGTCAGAGTGAAGTCGTGTAAGCGAGGGCCTCTCCCTGAAGGGCGAGCTCCGGAGCGCGGGACGTCTTTGCTCACGCGGAGGGAGCCCGGGTTCGTCTGTGGCCGCTGGCGACCGTGTGTCACCGCTGCAGCCAGCCGACGAGCGAGCCGCAGCTCGGCCCAGGGAACGCCAGTCCGCGGGCGGGGGGCATCGCTCTCCGTCTGCCTGCGCTGCGGCCAGCCCGCCCCGAGAGCAAATGGAGTCTCTGGAGGAAGGTTGACACTGGTCGCGGCAGCAGCTAGGAGCAAGCGTCGCTGCCGGAGCCGGAAGGCGGGGGATTAGGGTGCACGCGCGCGCCCCCGCAGGAACGTTTGTCGGCGACCGGGCGGGGCCTGCGCGGGCGAGCACGCGCGGCCCGGGGGCGGGGTCGTTGGCAAACGGGCGCTAGGTGGCGGGGCGGGGCGGACCGGCGGGTGAAGCGACTGTAGGTGCCGCGAGGGTTCCGCTAAGGGCCGGGCTGCTCCAGCCCGCCGACTCACTCATGGACCAGCAGGGGGCGGTACTGGTTCATCCTATTTTGGTCCTTCTCCCAGGGTCCTGGCTAGGAAAGTGAGGCTTCTTCAATGCTCAGGTGGGATAAAATTTACACTTTCAAGAGGGCTCACGAGAAAAGTGTGCATCCTCAGGTGCCAGGAGCCGCCTGCAACTGGGAAGCGCAGGCGCACGTGGACCATGTTTACAAATAGCGGCCCTGGCGCTTGCGCCTCCTAGCGCTCGCCAACCCGCACTGGACGAGCTGGAGAAAAGGATCTTGAGCCGCGGTAGGAGCGAGCGGACGCGGCTGCTGGCTGAGGGGAGGCTGGTTACTGGTGGGTACCGGGTTCTGGAAAGGGGCTGGGGCTTACACTCTGCACGTCCCACCCGACGCAGGTCTGGGTAGCTGGGGCGCAGCAGGTGTTGTGGGACTGGGGGAGGGGGGGAGGAGGGCAAACTGGCTCTGAATCTCCCCAACTGTAGCTCGACAGTTGAAGCTACGTTCTCTGTAGAAGCAGATCTTGTGCAAAACCGACTACACCTGGGAGACGTGTGAGCTTGGAGGCTCCGAGAATTTCCTGCGGCTCCTTTACTCCTCTTCTCAGTAGTAATAAGGGAATTGCAGTTTGACAAAGAGTCCCTTGAGCTGTTTCAAACGTATGGAGATACCATACATTTTTATTTTGGCATTTTAAATGGAGCGCATGCCAGGCCCGCACCGGTGCCCTAATAACTGCCGCTGCCGTGAGTGCCTTGTGGCCACTCCAGGACTCGGTTGCCTGAGGGGCCCTCTGAGCCGTCCCGGGAGAAGGAAGAGGCTATCCCCACATTCTGCAGCACCCGTTTACCGGGAAAATGCGGTTAGCTTTTTCTTTCTTTTTTGTATACCTTGAAGAATGGAAAAGTTTCAGTTAAGTTTCCCTAGCATCAGAACATAAATGACTAACCTTTTTCGTTAACACCGTAGCATAATAATTCGTCATTTATTTGCAAAGACCATATGGTTGCTAGACTGTTTAAAAAGGGAACTGACTTGAGCCTTCATACTATAGAAAAGAGATGTTGATTTGTAACTATTTAACTCCCCGGCCCAAATTGCTCAATGCCTTCCTCAAAATCACAGCTTTCCTCTATTACGCATAATGGAAAAATATTTGCTGGTCTAGCTATGCTGAGAAGTTTTAAATGGTTTTTGACAAATGTCTGTTTTTCCGGAAGGCGAATCTTTCTCTACCTCCTCCCCATATCAACCGGACAGTTTCTGCAGTCTTGGTTGACTATTTTGGCTAAAATACAACTTCATACTAGTTTTAAATCACGTTTAAAAGTTTGCCTCTTTGATATTTACAAGAAGCGTGAAAACATTTATATCTGATACAATCCATTGTATCACCATCATAAGGGAAGAGCTGCAGTCAGTAAACTGTGGCCTATAACCAGATGTTAGCAGCCTAGCTTTGCCCTTACCTCCAGCCTACTGGGGTCACTGTGTCCCATGATACTTAAATAAGATAACCTGCTTTTTATCTCTATCTCCCAATATCTTTGAGGTTTAATTTTCTGGCAGATATCACTTGAATTGTTTCTCTGTTTCTGCTGAATTTTCCAGCTTGCTGGTATTTTATCTCTTATAGCTTGTTCCCTTTTCATTACCTTATGTATGTTAAAATCTGGAGTACAGCCCACATCCCTCAATTTCCTCAAGGCACCACTTCACACACAAGGCAGCTGTATTTGACAGATGTTTCATGAGACTTTACCCAAGACAGCTGTGTCTTTACAGGAGATAGTTTTACTTAATAGACTTTTCACATTTTCTTGGAGGGAGGAATTGCAATATGACAAATTTATATTAGAATACAAGAGTAGGGGGACCTTAAAATAGAATTTGAGGCATATTTGTTTTATTAAGAGACTGGCTGGCTACAGTGAAGTTGTCAGTTTCTCTCTTTGGGTGATAGTCTCTCCCCAGCATTTTCCTACATCTAGGTCCCCTTTCTCCTTTCCTTTCAGCTGCTTGTGAAATCTTAAGATTCTTTTTACTTTCTTATGCAGAGCGATTTTGTATTCTTTGTCTTCTAACTGTCCTTTACCATTTGCTGTGGTTTATTCTCTAATCAAAAGACATTTCACTCCTTGGGCAATTCTGCCACTAGTATATCTTTCCTTCTTTCTTAATCCTTGCAACAGTAGTATAAGGTAGATGATATTTCTGGTTTGTGTACAAGGAAACAAAGCCTAAAAAAGTATATGAATTTGTTAAATGTAGGTGGCAGAATGAGATTTGAGCCAAGTCAGTCTTTAAAATACTGTGCTCTGCTCACGCTATCATAAGCAAGGCATTTAGCTTAAAGACATGAAAAAAAGAAAAAGTATATTATGATTATTTATGTGTGATTAAAATTGCCATTTATTAAAATGGAATTTTGGCATTAACCTACCAAAAAGTCATTCTAACACTGAGAGCACATTAAGTCTGAAACAGTGTTTATCAGACTAAGCATGAGCATTTGGTTCATTGAAATGTGGGTTTTCTGAAAACTACTCCCAATCAACTGAAAGTAGGTTATGCTTCTCATTGTTATAAGCTCTAAATTCCCTTTTCTACTGACATAATATCAAAACAAGTACATTATGTGGCCTCATTTTCAGTAGTATTTTTTATTCACAATAGTTTCATAATAGGATAGGACATCTCTTGGTAAATTTTTGATTTTAAAGGAATTGCTTCTCTTTTGCTTTTGGAGTTCCAGTTACTTGAAAATCAGTGGTTTTCACAAAAACCATTAACTGTCACCTACTTTAAAGGGCAAATTTTTGAGGAGCATTTTCCAACTAAAATATTTTTGTCTTTGTTTGGGATGTGTGTTTGTGTATTTTAGGACAAACAGGATGTAAAATAGTTGTCATTGGTAAAATGAAAGCTTGTTTTTTGAAGTCTCCTTGAACTGTAAAGGAGACAATTACTTTGTTGTAGACAACAGCCCAAATTATTCCTTTTTAATATGAAAAATTCCCTTTTAAAATGGTAAAGTTAGGAACACTTTTCCACTTAAAAGTTTCTGGACACAAGTGAAATATCAGATTACTCATTAGGAAATCCCATATATTTTTTAAAAAAGTTAACATGATATTGGAAGAGAGTGAGGTCTTATACTCTTGAGTCATATAGATGCCCAATAGGGGGCTTTTAAACTTGCTTTCTTTGTTTCCTTGGTGGCTGGCAGTAGGTTTTCAGTTGAATGGCTGCATAAACAAAGACAAAATTGAGTTCTTAGGAGAGTAGGAAAGATTTAATAGGGTTGAAAAAATAAAAATTGCTGTTGGAAATGTTTAAGAAAAAGTTAGACTTGTGTTCCTAAAAAAACGTGGATAAAAATGGAAGAAACCAGTGAATTGCTGATTGATGTCAACAGTGTGGGTGGGAAACTTGAGTGACGTTTATATGCCTGCCTTACTTTTCCAAGCCTGCCCAGTCTCCAACTGTTCTCCAAAGGATCCCGCAGTTCTGCTAGTTTGGTTAGAGTCCCCTGTGCATCAGGCCACTCACTCTCACAATCCCCGGCACGTGCAGCATGGGCTTTCAGGTTCTCTGTGCTTTTCTGTTAGCCCAGAAAGTCCTCTCCTTGCTCTGTCAGTCTCTAAAGCCTTCAAGTTTTAGTTTGTCCAGAAAGTGCATTTCTCAAGGTTTCTCCTCAGACCTGATGGGTCAGAATTACCTGTGTCCAACATACCAATTCTGGAGGGCACTCAAGGGATGAAACCCAGTGATCTCTCAACTGATTCCAACATACTAAAGTTTGGAAACTTTGTAGTATCTTGATCATCATTTTGAATATAAGATTCCTTTCTCATAATGTATTTGGGAGGGAATTTTTCATTTTACTCCTCCCCCTTCTTTTTAAATTATATGCAGTCTTTGAAGGAAAATGTGAAATGCAGAAAAGGAAAAGAGGAAAATAATAATACCAGCATTCAGCAGTAACTACTCTTAACATTTTGGTGTATATCCACTCTTTTTTTGTATCAGTGTAATTATATCGTGTGTGTATCTAATGAGAACATTAAGTTGAAATACACATAATTTTGTATATGCTTTTTTAACAACATAGTATATATATTTTATGATATTATTGATTCCCATCAGCCAAATACCACCAGGTTGCCAAAAGTGGGCTTACTATTGCAGCAGGGGAGATCAAGACCTTGGAAAAACCATGGAGGGAATCAGGTGGAGCTTGTTATAAGATTTGGATAAGGTGATTTTAGCAAGGCTTAAAGAAAATGAAGAGTCTCCTCTGGATTGGGTGGTCTCAGAAAGCAGGATTAATTTGGCTTTTTGGTATCTTAATTTTTTTCTAGGAAGCTGTCAGAATAGAGAATCTAGAGTTATCACTGGAGCAGAAGCAGTACTAGCAAGGAGAGGGCAATGCTCAGTCAGTTTTGAGGTTGACAGCATTCCGCCCTCCATCCTTGCGAAGTCTTTATTCAGGCAGGATTATGGAGTGACCCTGTGTTTGTCTTGGTTCACCACAGTCATGTTGAGCCCTCTTCTAATATCCATGAATTATTTAGATTCCTCAGGGTAACATCATGCCTATGTCATTCAAAGCTTTCAACACATTCTCAAAAGACCTGGGATTCAAAAAAAGTTTAAATAATCATTGATAGATTAGCTCATTCAGCCTTTAAGTGATCCCCAATTTATCTGGGTAAATACATCTTGATTCAATTCTGCCTTAGTGAGACTCTCTTATGCTTTAGGAAGACAGTTATTAACACCTGGCTTTAGTGCATCTAGATTTTAAAAGCCTCATAATAGTGTTTCTCAAACTGAGCTTTGATCAGTTTTGGAACTTTCAAGTTCCCGAAAAGAAATCCCATACCATTAGCAGTCACCTCCATTCCCTACCACCTTCTCTCCTGTTTTCCAGCTCTTGGCAACCACTTGTCTCTATAGATTTGCCTACTCTAGACTGTTCATATCAGTGAAATCATGTAATAAATATCCTTTGTGACCAGCTTATTTTATTTCTAGTGACTGATTTCTAGTGTTCGCCTAGAATCAAGTGCAAGTTTCTGCTCAAACATGGTTCTATTTCCCAACTAATTAATTCCTTCTGTTAGCCGAGTAACCATATGATACGCAGTACAAACTGGGACAATGATTTTTATAACCATTTAAAAAATATTTAAATCAAACTTACTTATAAAACACTAACCTCAAAATTATATTTCTTTAAAGCTTCCTTTGTTAATGGTATAATCACTTAAGTAGTACAATTTTCTAAATGAAAAATGAGAAAGAAGTAACTCTCACCTTTTATGACAGCATGGATGGAACTAGAGAGCGTTATGCTAAGTGAAATAACCTAGGCAGTGAAAGAGAAATAGCATATGATCTCACCTGTAAGAGGAACCAAATGAACAAAACAAACAAATGAGCAAAATAGAACCAGAGACATGAAAACAAGGAACCAACTGACAGTGATGGGGGTGGGGGGAGCGGGATAACAGAGGAAAGAAGGGGAAGGGTCTGATCAACAAACAGGTATAAATGACCCATGGACATGAACAAAAGCATGGGGATTGACTGTGGGAGATGGGCGGAGCAGGGGAGAGCAAGGTTGGGGGCAGGCGGGGGGGGCGGATAGGAACAACAGTAACAACAACAACAATAAAATATAAAATACAAGTTTTAGAAAAAATAAAAATAAATGAAAATGAGAAAGCATTCAAAATTACATTAGAAGAGAGACAAAGCCTCAAGATTCTGGTGGTTCTAGATTTATGCAGCAGACTAGTTTGAAGACTCAATCACCGCTGATGGTGTCTCAATGTTGTTTTCAGGGTATGGGGATAGTGGAAGAAAGTTCACATGCTAGAGGAAGACGAAAACTCCCGTGGTAGGTAGACATTTCCTGTTGTTACTTAGGACATGGTGGTCCAGAAAATCCCCTGGTGGAGTGAGTGTTTTGGGGTGGTCCACACATACTTTCTTAGGCCCTCACCTCATGAACTGGCCCACAGGACTGTGCACTGGAGTTAGAGGTGGAGGGATGAAGCCTGGATTCCAGCAGGGAGTGGAGGGGAATGAAGAGATCTCCCTGGTGAAGGTGGACTTTTTGGTGGTCCTACATTCTTAGGATCCTAGTGGAGAGGGTCCTTCTGAAACTCTGGCAAAAGCTTTTGCTGTTACCTTCTTTTAGACTCAACTTTCCCAGAACACTTTCAAGAGTGAAGAAGGTACACTATTAATTATTACAGGAAGTCGGCAAGCATAAATTGGAAGTTTTCCAGGCAGACTGTAGTTTAAATACCCTATTTATTAGGCACTGCTTCAGTGTCCAAGGAAGCAGACTTTAGAATCATCCTTTATGCTTCTCTTATCTGGACTAGGATGGCACTTCTTTTGCCTCATACATACACTCAGTTATCAGTTTTATGAGTTCTTTCTACAAAATTCATGTGACTTGTCTTGAATTTAGGTAGGGAAAGACATTTTCATCTCTGCTGGATTATTGTAAACAAGGTCCACTGTAATAAGTCTCCTTCACATTCTAGTCAAACTTCCAGATTAGTTTGTCACTAGTTTATTAAGCTATTTATTCTACTTAAGAACCTGGACTAGTTCCTGATTGTTTGAGGCCCAGCTTAGACTTCTTATTTTGCTGTTTAACCTACATTGCTTTTCATGCTGAGGTCTGTCTCTGTGCTCATCACACCGGTCCGTTAGAATGCCCTCTCCGTCCTAATCTGTGGCTTCTTGCGGCTCTAGCTCCAGCCACTTCTATTCATCACGTTTCTTTCTGTCTTCTAATTTTCAAGTGCTAAAGGCACACATTTCAAATTTGATTAAGCAATTTAGTGTATTGTATTTGCTAACTGAAGGATTAAGATTCAAGTGCTTGCGCTGGCCCTGTAGCTCAGCTGGTTAGAGCGTCATCTCAATATGCCAAGGTTGCTGGTTCCATCCCCAGTCAGGGCATATACAAGAATCAACCAATGAATACATAAATAAGTGGAATAACAGATTGATGTCTGTCTCTCTTTTTCTCCCTCCCTCCACTTCTTTCTCCTCCAATATCAATAAATATATGTTATAAAATTTTTTTAAATGACTCAAGTGCTCTCCGGGGCCAGGAGTTGATCATAAATTGTGAAACTGGCAGAGTGAAGTACACTAGGTATTAAAGTGCTTGTGTTGATTGCTAAGCAATAGTAATTCCAAACTAGGTACATGGCCTTTAAAAGTTACTATGCATATCAGACAAAATGGCCAAACAGTACCTTCACAAGATTTTCAAATTGTGTCCAACTTTCTTTGTACATGTACTTTCTAGCTTAAGTGATAAACCATCCATAATTCCCCTTAGCCATAATTCTTAAATGATAGTAGGTACCTGTTGTGCATTGTATAAGACTTGTGAAATTAAAAAGTTAAATGATGGCTTTAGCAAACTTACTGGGAAAATAACTGAAACTATATTCAAAAGAAAATGCAGCAGTTCTCTTGGTTCCCAAGCCTGAAGTTGGGGTGATCATTACAGATGTAAGTGCTTCCTATCCCAAGTCAGCCTGGGACTGTGTTTTTCTGCCTTGTGGAAGCAGAGCCTGTGCAGTGTTTTGTGTGCACACATGGAAGTAAAACGTGCCCTGGCCCCTGGCTTGCTCAACACAATGTGCTCCTTTGCCTCTGCTCTGGGTAGTGTTGGTTGGCTACAGATATGCAAGGAGTGTTAGATTTGAGGGGATGTATTGAAATGGGAGCTGATGCTAGTTTTCCCTTTTCCTACCACCACCTCCCTTTAAGATGCAATTTATTATGTCTTTGTTATTGTGGCAAATAAGTCTTTTAAAGTTGGGTCAACTAAAACCTCGCATGTAGTATTTAGTCAGCATTGTCTTAAGTGTGCCAGTAAAAAAGAAAAGTGACAGAAAAGTGACAATAAAAAATAAAAACATGACAGTTTCCTTCTGGCTTATGTGAAGTGGATATTATAGCCATCAGTTCAAATATTTGAACTTATAAAGTCCGCCTGATTTTCTAGTGATACACACATGGAGTAGGAAGTTACTGAAAGAGGCTAATTTCCCAGACTGTATGTAAATCCACATACATAGAATTATGGATGTCTAAAAACATATTGTTTAATGTTTCTCACCAGTATATGTTAATAAGATTATTTGAAAATAATTAGAAGTAATAAGTAACAGCTACATAAAGTAGAGCATTTTTACTTAGGAAAATTCTTATAGAATAGAGTGGAAGGAAGAAAATTTTCATAGACTTTAACTGGTTTCTAGGGGGCAGCAGAAGTGAAAACTGCCTCAGAACAGTGAGGAATATTCCTGTAGATTGGAACCTAAGTGTAAATATGGGATTTTTTTTCTTAGAAACGAACAGCGATGAGGAAGCAAGTTGGTGTCTTTGCTCTCTGCACTGTTAGTTCTGGCGGTGAATACCACTAGCTGATCAGCATTTTCTGAACGGAAGGAGCCTGCGTGTGTGGCATCCAGCGGGTCAGGTTTAAGAAAAAGATGTCAGCAACTTAAGACCCATGTCACATGACTCCCTCTCCTTGCCAATACTAGACGCCGTGGATCAGATTTCAACTCCAGGCAGTCCTCGGTGCTCCTGTGGGTTTAGCCGAATAAGAAACAAAACCACTCTTCTGAAAATGTGAGAAGCTGCTCTCCGCTTACTGTAGCCTCGGGATTTGGGAGCTGGTGTTCAAATCAAAGCATCTCCACTGAATGGAATTTCAGTATTTTGCTGTCATTTTGATGATTTCATCTGGCCTTCATCAGTTCTGCCAGACACTTCCTGCGAGGATGGGGGCAGGAGCCCTCGGCATCTGTGTGAGTACAGGCCTCCCTGTCTTCCTCGAGCACGAGCACGAAGGGCTCTGGAGAGGCCTCTGTCCTCCTGGGTTTGCTGAGTTGTTTGTGCGACTTTGCTTGTCCTTCCTAGGAGGTGGGGGCAGATTCGTTACTTAAATTTATTTCTATTCAAGTGGACACTAAGCAGTATTTAGGGCAGTCAGCATGTCTGCCTACTTTCCAAACAAGGTGAAGGAGAGTGCAGCTGAGTTTATTGGGTTAAGTCAGCTTTATTTAATGTAGAGCACTCCGAGCGTTTGAGACTGTCTTGTTTCCAAAGAGTTAAATATGAATTCTCAGTTGTAGTTATTGGAAAAATTTTGTGGCAAGACTGAGAAAGAATCAATACAATCATAATATATTACCTCTGAGTATGTTTATGACATCTTTGTATTCACATTCTTGTTTTCATTTACTAATGCTGGAATTTCTGTTTTAGCATGGTTGCTGAAAGTGGTGGTGAAAAAGCATGGTTGAGAAATGTTTGTGACTCTTAATGTAGAAACTTCTGGTTGTTATAGTACAGTAGCATTAACAGATAACACTGATATAAAATCCATAGGGAAAATGTGTATATCTCTAGGGCTGAAACTCATTAATTTCAAAAGCAATTGTTTTGGTGCTTATACATAACCTTTTGCAATAACCAGGTATTGTCAATTATATGCTGTAATTAAAATTTTTATTTCAATATATGGAAAATGCATAAATATATGTACTTATGTTTCAAGTACATATATTCCTTGGTAGTGTATTCCAAGGGAGAATTTTACGTCTTCAGAGGTGCTGAGTGAGAAGTATCTTGCTCTTCGTCACCTTGACTGCCCCTTTATGTTTCATCACATTTAGGTCAGATCCTTTTTAAAAAAAAAATTTCAGGAAAACCTGCAATTTGTTCTGGGTTGTGATCCATCCTAAAACATCCAGAAATATCCAGGCAATTTTTGACATACAGGCCCCAAATGGTCACCAGGTGGTGTACCAGCCCCACAGATTGAATTTTTTTAGTAGAACTGCAGGGTGGCTCCCTCAGTCCACACTCAGAATTCCTCAGGCCGTGTGCCAGTCTGCATCTCTCCCTTTTGGTCCTGAGGCCTGAGCATCCAGGCATCCAGCTAGTTATCTTTATATCACTTCAATGTGTTCCCTTTAAAGTCTGACTTATTTTTATGTATAAAAAACTAAGCTTTTACTACAGATATACATCTGCATTTTTCCAGCTTTGTAAAAGAAATACTTAAGAACCAGAAATGTGTGGAGTGAGGCAGCAGCTTGACCTTTGTCATAAGATTTGCAGTCATTTCTGGTTGTCTGATTGGATCCATATTTCTTGCCCTCTTGTGTACATTGATCTTACGTTGGCTGAACACACTGACCCATGTATGAAACTCCATGCCGCCCTTCATTTATATCCAAAGCATGTGCAAAATTTCATTTAAGGTTGACATAAAAATCATGCTATCTAAGAGATTATTCACTTTGATATGATTGATATGAGTGCCCCAGTTTTACTGTAGGGGGAATTGCAACATAGTATTTATGTAAAAAGAGAAGCGATTGGAGAGTAAAAAACTTTTTTTAAAAAACGTGGCAGAAAAGTGAGAACTAAGTGACACATGAATGCATGCCTGTGAGCTGATACACTTTTCTTAGTTTGGGACTTTTCTGCCCAGTGAACATATCTTATGTGTAGCAGCTTCTCAGGTGTGCTGCTCAAGACAGTCTTCACACAAAATAACAGACCCGTCAAGGATTTGTAGAGTATGCATGTGTACTTACAGATTCTTGAAGTGGGACTCAGACTGGTTTAAAGATATTTCCTATATCCATTGACTAATCAACTTCTATTCTTCATTTCTTTTGTTTTCCTCATTTCCTATATTGGTAGTGCTGTCAGTAAAACTGTGGTGGGCTCACCAAATTTACTTACGCCTACATTGCTACTCATGTACAAAGAAGAGGTAGGTTCTTTACTGTGAAATATCTTTTTTTTCCCTCAGTAAATCACTGAGAGTCAGGCAGAACTAGAAACTATACTTGACAGTTAAGGTTATCGTAATCTCTTCTAGTTTGAAATGTCACTTTTGGGTGACTCAAGCTCTCTCAGGTGAATCCTGAGTCTTTCAGGTTCCCTGCCTGTCCTGCTATTTGTCCAGGTAGCATCTGGGCATTTAGAGGATGTGTAGGTGAGAGTGAGGAGGTAGCATATTCTGGTGGATAAAGAATGAGAGGACTTAGAATGCATGTGTGTAGGTTCTTATACTGTACTCTGGATTTTCCTATTTGTGGGCAAGTTCAGGTATCGTGTCTGTGACTAATGAAATTGCAGTCAGTTCCTCTGGGTACTATCAGAGCCCAGTGTCCACCCATCCTGACTCAGCTCCAAGTCTTGCTGGAGCTGGAAACAATTCCAAGGGTATCAGGCCCTATAGCCTTTGTCCCTACCTTGGGCACCTCCACTCCTGTGGCCTTACCACCTGGTACCATCAGCTACCTTACATGTACCTCACAGTTCAGGCAGGAGCTATGGTTACAGTACACAAAGGCTCACTCACCATAGATCAAATGAAGATACTCTTGACGCTGACTCATTGAATTGACTTAAAACAAAATACAAAGCAAAGGAGTGGGAATGATGGGGTAGGTTTACCTACTTAGCATTGAAGTGGAATGAAAGGACTACACTCCCAGCACCCTGTGTTACATTGTGTTCATCTCTCCTGTCTGAATGGAAACGAGAAATTATTATGTATACCCCAATGTACCCAGCTAAAAAGTGGGCAAAGCTTGTAAGCAGAAAGAGCACAAGTCGGAAATACAATTGCAAATAAACATGAAACTTGTTCACTGTCATTCATGGTTATAAATATTGACAAATTAAAACAATTTAACACCAAAGGATGATGAGAGAATGGGAAGCAGGCACTTTCACATGCTGTCGATCAACCTGTGAACCCCTGAAGCATCTTTGTAAGGAAGTGTGGCAATATATCAAAATTTATCATTTGTATACCTGCTGATCTAGCAAACTCATCTCTAGAAATTTATCTTCCAAGTGCTTGTACAGTTATGTAAAAATGTTTGCAAGAATATGAATTGCTGAATTATTTGTAATAGTAAGAATGGTAAATCTAGATGTTAGTAATATTGGTTAAATCAATTACAGTATCTCTATGTGATGTAATATTAAACAGCTATTAGTGCCAATATGGAAAGATCTCCAAATAGATCAAGTAGCAAAACCAAAGTGCAAAAATATGCAATAGTATAGTTCTATTTGCTTTTCAAAAAAAAGAATATGCATATATATGTACTTAATTACGCATAGAAAATTTCTGCAACAAAACGAGAGCTTTGAAAGCTGGGATAGGAAGATATTTCAGTTTAAATTCTTGTGTGTGTCGTATGAGTTTGATCAAGTTCATGTGTTACTTTTGTTAAATTTCAATTAATAAAAATAGAGACTGCTTAAAGAACAGACACAGGTAGCTCTGTCTAGAAATAAGATTGGTTTAAAATCATAAAGGCAATAGTATTAAGTTTGAATAATAAGAACCTTCACAGAAGCATGTTGAACTATATAAATTATTTGAACTTGTTTAATATGTAAAAGGAAACAGACTTTTCCCCCAAATTTCACAGAATAGACCTGGAGCCAGGTAGAATGTAATGAAGCAGTTTCAACACAGTAGGAAGAAGTGTCTAAAGATTCTAGTGTCTAAAAAATTGAGCTGGTGGTCTAATGAGATGGTCAGCACCCATGACCAAAAGTGAGACAGAGAAGGCTGAATGGTCACAGGTTGACTTGGCAGTCTGTCACGAAATTAGAATGGTAAGGTGAGATGTTTTTGTAATGTTCTCCATTTCTAAGACTCTCTAATTGTGTGCTTCCTCAAATTTGTAGCTCTCAGCCAGTTTTTTTTTATTAAGACTGTTAGGTATTTAGAACACACATGGCTCCCCCAACCCCCTGACTTGCTTCAATTAGGGCTTCCTTTACCTAGAGGATTGGAGGATTAGCCGAAAGTGAAGGTAGGGTGCCACGATGTTAATAATAGAGCTAGAATGAGGGAAGGCGGGAGAACATTTTAATTGATAAGTGAAGTCTTATTAGCTTATAAACAGTAGAGATTTTTTAAAGTGATGTAATTAGGAATATTACTTCAGGATTGCTAATTTGTTACTACATTTCATCATATAAAATTGTATAAATTACTTAAAATTATACAATGGAACTCAGGCAAATGGTTCTTTCTAGGAAAAGTGTTTGTAGACAGTAGTAGTGGAAAAGATGTGCTAAAAGAAAAATAGTTGTTATAAAATTGTTTTATAATCAGTTAATTTACTTTTGGTTTTAATTTCTAGAGATTTTCTTAATATTTAAAAAACTAGTTTTTGTTAAAATATAAATAAATGATCTCAGATATTTTTATTTCTGCAGTTTATTCTATAAATAAGTCAAGTAGTCCTTCAAATACTTATATGCAGCATTAGTTTTAAGCACATTTTGAGTTTTCTGAAGCTAAACAGTTTAGCCTTAATTTTTGCAAAAACAAAATGTTTAACACTGTAGCTCTTGACTGTATTAGGTCTTGAAGGTTAAATAAGTCTTTGTAAGTTTTAAAAAATCCTTCTGTTTTTGACTCATATTCTGCTTTAAATTTGTTGAGAAACAGTAGTAAGAATAGCACTTTCAGGATTATTTTTCAAATTTAATTCATAGCAACCTCCTGCAAAATTGTTCTCTTCTGTTAAAATCCCTCTGGGCTCTACTGGGACTGCTAACAATGATAAACAAAAGGTATAACATTAGTGACGTTAAGAGTTGTCTCCTTTTCTCCAAATAACCTAGTGCCTATAAGCACATGAATGTTTCTGGGCTTTCAGGTTTTTTACATGTAAGTGTAACAGCACTGGTAATTTAAAGTGGCCCATTCCAGAACTTATTTCCTCCAGATTCATTGAAAAGGGACAAGGTG